CGCAGGACTACATAAATGCTTCTGCTATTCGCATCGCATTAAAAAAATAATAGAATGACTTTTCTACGTATAACTACTAGATTTATATAGAAAAAAAAATGATGCATGAAGAACGTGTTTTATTTTATAGTCAATAATTTGTAATAAACTTTGTTGTTCATCTATCATTGCGAAGAAAAATGATTGATGTGAAAGGAATTTTATTTTAATAAATATAAGAAAATAATAAAACTGTTTTATCTTCATCTGCAATGAATGATTGATAAGTTCTGAATTACTTTACATATATTTTGAAAAACATTTAATAAAAAAAATGGTTGTGGATTTCTAAGCAAGACATTGGTTCTAGTGCCAAGTAAAATATTAAATAAGTTGAATACTTAATAAACTTATTATATACTAAATTCGATCAGTGAAAATAATTTATTACTAAGTAAAGATGGTTGAGACATAAGAAGAATTGTCACTTGGTGCTGTGATGTGTACATTTCTTTTTATTACTACTGATATAGTGTTTTAATATACGTAAAATTTATTTTTATTTTTTCCCGTTATGACGTCATCTATATTGATCTTCACTGTTTTCCTGAGATTTCTTCTCTTGTTATTCTCGAGGATGTAGCTGTGAATAGTATTGTTAACTGATAACTATATTCTTATCCATATTTCATCCTTAACTTCTTTCTTATTTCCATTCGCAATAATTTGATCACAACTTGTATTTAATTTCTATTTTAACAGCATAATCATTTTTTATATTAGTAATAAAATACTACTAAGATAATTACACTAATTTATTTCATTCTCTTTAGCAACAGTTCTTGCATTTTGTTTCCATTTAAAATCAGTATGAACTAACATAGAAAAGTTTTTCATTCAAATCTGTTATCTTCATCTTTTCGATAAGACTATATCTATTATTTTTGATGTTGATAATATGATAATTATTTTCAATGACACTACTCGAATTCATCATACCATATTTTTCGATTTAATTAGAATTAGTGAATCGAAGTGTCATTAATTATAAAAGATGTAAAGAAATTTCTATTTGCGAGATATTTTCACCTAATTAAGATGAATGAAATATGAGTGGGCTTTCTTTAAATAATATCATTCAATGTCAAAACTGAATTCAAAGCATTATTTGTTATATGAAATAAAAATTTATTAAATCTATAACTATAAGACATCCATCATTCTTCTTTTTGTATTTCAAGAACATTTATTTTCTAAATAAGAATATTTTCTTATAAAAATCATCAATCTTTCTTCTTAATACATCATCGACGAGCTTGAAATATCAGGTATTTATGATGATTATAAAAATGATCATGTGAATGAATCTAAGCATTTGATAAAACTCTTTGCTATATTATTTGAAATCAAACTCAACTGAAAATGATGAATAAATACCAAGAAAATATAAAAACACAGTCAGAGTGTGAAAAAAAAAATTTTTTCTCAATGTGAGGATGTGGATAAAAAATAATTATAACATTTATCACCATCATATATACACAGACTAAAGAATATGATATAGGAAAAGATTATTTAAGTTGATGATTAGACATGTGTCAGAAGTGCTATTCTCCAACGCATCTAGCTATAACTCATACTTCATTTAATTTGACTGAACTATTATACTAATATTGAAGAATATGATATTCCTCTTGAATTTTATAAGAGAACAGTTCAAATTCAAGAAAAAAATTACCTTGGTCTAATATTTGCATGACTGATAGTCATAATAGAATTGAATCTGCTTATGGTAAACTAAAGAACATCTGACGAAAAGAAGAAATATATATAAGAATAATAAATAATAATATAATGTATTTTGAAAAAAAAAATGCATTTATAAAAAAAAGATTGTTTCGTGTCCTCATGAATTAATATAATAAATATTAAAAGTTCTACTATATAGATAGAGTAAAATTTGACGTGGAGGACCAAACATATTTGGACGCACGGGTCCTGGCGGCAGTTTTGGAGGCATTGGACCCTCAGATGGTCCTGAACTATGATAATCAGACGAGATTGAATGAGAACTT